TGCACTTCCAACCTGCTGATGGTTGCAGAACAGAGGTTTCCACCAGACCTATCACAAGAAAAAAGCTCTAAGAGCTCCTAGCTTTCAGCCAAAAGGGAAATGCAGGCACTAAACAATGGTGAACTATCTTGAATTACAATAGATGTTTCACTAGCTTTATTTCCCAGGTCCCAAGTACAGCTAGGAATTATGTCCATCAACTCCCTTTAAGTACTGGAAACTGGCCATAGAAACAAGGTGAAATGGAAACTGGAAAAGCTTGTAACATAAAGGAATACAGAGTGACATGAGTTCTACCACGAGCTTCATTTTGGAATCCCCAAAACTACAACAAATACAGAATCCCTTCTGCTTGAGGAGAGGGGTTGAAGGGAAGAATGAAGAACATCTCACACCTTATGAGGCTTTAGAAATGCAAAATGGAACAGTATCAAGGAGCTTTAAACTCATGTATCCAGTGAGATTTTACCAGATGCGAGTTCTATGTTGCCAATCTAAACACCCCTATCTGCATCAAACTGCTGTTAACCAGCAATTATTATCTTCCCAGAACTGAGCAGAGCCCTGCCCAACATGAACAACTGCTATTTGAAAAGGAAGCATACACAACTGCTATTTAAAAAAGAAGCATACTGGACTACCTTGGACAGGAAATAGAAATATCACCTAGGTGCCTCCAGCAACAGCTACAACAGTGATTAGAAATCAGGCAGGTGACACTTAAAATGAGACATGAAAACACAGATTTGGGGCTGCCAATGGAATTTACCAAGATTCACAGCTATACAGCCAAGCACTAAAAAACCTCACAAAGAACAGACTCTCAAGAAATCTCCATCCTCATAATGAACAGCAAAAGAGTTGAGGTGGGACTTAACATACCTACAGGCTTGACCTGGTTTTCTTCCACACAGAACAAACAAATTCTGCTTCCATTCAGTTTCAGCCACTCCAGTGTGATCTTTCCAGATCCTGCCTGTTTAGTTTTGCTAAGATTTCCTATGATCTCTAAAATTTTTTGGTTTTGTTACAATGTTTGTTACAATGGAATATTTGAAAACAACAATCCTTTCGTAAACATGTACGGAATCAGGTAGGAATGGCAAAAGCAAAGTTATGTAATCTATCTTTGGACCTAATTTTAATAAAACAAGTATTCTTGAAACCCAACATCTCTGTTTATCACATTTTAAAATGAAATTCATGGCATTTTTTTTTCCTTTTCATGATTAAAACTTAAAAATAACTTGCTATAGCTTTTAATATAATTTGAGAACATAGCCTAACTTTTGGCAGCTACTGGCACAGGAAACTGCAGCATCAGATCTGAACTTGCACCAGTTTGTCTGCACTTCTTTGTCAAATCTGGTATTTGAAAGAAACCTGATTCAATGATTAATGAGTAGAATAATCACTAGTGCAAACATATACCACCCAACTAATACTCAAACCCAAGTAAGAATCAATTTCTTCTTTGTTCTTCTTTGAATTATGCTTTAAGAAAGCAAGAACAGGAAAAAAACCTATTACTTAGCAGTATTCCTCCTTTTTTCTAAAAATTAGGTATGCCTTGACAACTATGATGAGCTATGTTACTTTCAGGAAAATCCCAAATCATTCCATTTCCACTGAGTGAAAGTTTGAGGGCTGTCTCAATTTTGAAATAAACAATACACACCAAGAAAAGACCACTCTCCTACACTGAAATTACTGACACTTAGGTTTAGCACTGAAGGTCAACAAAAGAGTACTTACCTTCTGTTTTGGAAAGAGTTTTGGAATAGAAATCAGTCTGTTGCTATGTGACTGGTTTCCAGGCAGCAGTTCCACTCACTTCTTCAGGGAAACAACGTGTTCTTCTGTTTCTGCAAATGCTGTTTATACTGAGTAAGTCCAAGTATGTTCAACTCAGACAACATACTGTGAACCATTAATGAAAAAACGCATTTGCAAAAACCAGAACATAATACACTGACCTCTCTCAACTCCTATTTGGAGAAAAGAGATGCATCATATACATGACAGATTGCTGGCATTACATCTTCTGGCTGTTGACTTGAGAGATTGCCAACTTTTATGAAACATACTTGATCCATTCCATTTATTTTGTGAATAAACATGAACAGCTTCCTCCATTTATTACCACATCTGAAGGGCTTAGACATCTCAAAAGCGACAAGTGTCAGTGGAAATACTAAAAAAGGGTGAAATTTTCACTGAATACTGATGAACATTCCCTCAAGAGCACACCAAGAATGCATTAATAAAATAATTTTTCCTTACAAGGTTTTTACACTATTTTTATTTGGTCCTGTCTATAAAGAAGTGTCTCTGTCAATTTAGCATCTGTTATGACTCACTTGAGGAAGTTCAGAAAAATGAGAGGCAATTAAAAAATTCAGTACAATATGATGAAATCCATTCAAGCTGAATTCAAACATCATTACTTAAATCAAACTTCATTGCCCTGTTTTCACCAGCTCTGAATTGAACATCCTAAATTGAATCAAACTCTTATTTGATTATTTCTTCAGAGAATAAATAAGTCGCTCAGAAAAACAAAGCCCCAAATCCACATTTATATCTGTTGAATTTTAAAGAACTTACAGGAAATTATTTTGCTTTTTAACATAATTAGAATCCAGTAAAATAAATTAGGAGGCAGCAGCTTTACCTGCATATTGTAAATAAGGGGGAAAAAAGTCAGAAATCGTGCATATGAAGAGCTAGTCTGCACATTTGCTGAGAATCAATTATGACAACGAATTCTAACTTCAAAAAAAACCAAACATGTTCTGCAAACTCCATTTCCCTGGAAAAAAAATAAAATACAAGAATGGCAAAGAGAAGGAAAAAGGATTAAGAAGAAACCAGGGACCAGATCTTATGACATAAGGAGCAAAAGGTTAGACAATGAAAGGGGGTTTTCTTTGCATGAGAGGATTCAGCCACATCTTTTGCAGTAGGTCTAAGAGGACTGTATCTCCCAGCAACACTGTCCAGTGATGCACACATCCTGCAGCTTATGTGATAAAGCAGTTCTGCTGTGCACCCCTCTGATACAAACCAAAGACGTGCATGCTCCCAAATAATGACCAAACTCACCTATAAAACTATACAACCCACAGAACACATATTAAAGAACAACATTCAAGTTGCAAAGTCAATCACTCTAGACTTATGTAAGACACTTTAATTTCCATGTGAAACATAATTCCCTCTTTACCATCACTGGCAGAACTTCAAATTTTTCTTAGACAAATGCACAGCCTGATATGGATATCAAGCCATACTATGTAGCTTCTTCCTACTTCACTGCTTGCACAAGTTGAAAGGTCTAATATTAATATGCTACAGAGAAGTAAAAAGGAGAAGGAGACACAGATGAAAGCTGTTCACTTCTCTGTGCTGAAGAGCTAGGCTCTACCTCTGCCTCCATGAAGACTCTTGCTGGAGAAGTCAGGGATGTGAGCTCCTCTGCACATAATCTATGTTCCTGATTTTCTCTGCAGGTGATTTGAGATCTGGGAATATACTTGTAGAAGAGCTGGAAGTATAATGTAACTGACCAATATGCTACAAAGATCACATGCCAGGAAAAGGGCACTAACAACCAGTGGCCACTTTGGCTCTTAACTGCATCTGTGTTTCTGCTCCTCTTTCATAAAATGTGGGGGGGAAAAAGTGGTATCTTGCTGCCTTCCACTGCACATAAAAAGAAATGTTCACTCATGTGCAAACCCTGACTGATAGTCACTGGAACAAAACTAAATACTACAGTTCTGTCACTAAAGCAGCTATTGGTAGACCTTCCTGGTTTAATTACACTTTTGATATGGTGCAGCCGACTGTGCCTCAGGTTCTCATTTATTAAATAGAAAAGTATCTTCCTTCACAAAGTTTTTATGAGAAGAAGCACAGGCTTGAGATTATGAGGGACTCTGGTACTATGGTGATGCAGGATATACTCAAGCATGAAACACAGCCAAGTACAAACCATGGTAACTAAATGTGAAGAGCTTAAAGTTTTCAGGACGAGGAAATTAACCTGAAATTTTACCCACATATTCTCCATCTCTATTTTCCCTCTGACTTATTTGTAGCATTAAAGACTGCAGAAGTAATACAGAAAAGTGGAAAAAGGTCAAATAAGGCATGCATTGGATGTTTTCTTCATGCCCACACCTAATACACAATGCTCATTAGGATACAACTCTTGCCAGTAAATGTGTGCTGAGCAGACAGACATTAGCAGAAATGTAAATGTATATTAAAGTACAAGAGATCATGCCTAAATGAGCACCCCATTCCAGCTAGGAATCCTTTCTCCTGTCATTGGAAGGATACACACTTCTCCTTAATTCTCCCTGAAAATCCCCACGGGTTGCTCCTAGCAAATACTACAATTACACTATAGAGATACACAGAAGAAAAATTAAGTATAGCAAACTACTAGTGCCATTTACAAGACTAACTGGGGAATTAAGGATCTCTTTCCCGAAGAAGTATTCGCACTCAAAAAACCATCATACTTTGTCAAGAAAATGTCTGTTTGACATATTGGCCACCTCTACCATCTCCATTAATTCAGTGAGCTTTTTTTACCAAATACACTAATTCCCTTTATAGTCTTATTAAGCATTTCCACCTTAGAAAGGCAGCACTGGAGTGATACAGTCCAGGGTCTGCAGACCCTCACCCACCCAGAATGGGAACTGAACTGCTGCGGGCAGAAATGGACGTTTCTGCAAAACAGAGCTCTTTAACTCTCCACCAACTCAGTCGCTGGTGTAAGTAGCTCAGTAAGCTCCTGCCTTACACCATGAGTTTTCCCTCTTTGCCTATAGGTCTGCTGCCCGCACTGTCGGGCACATGGATTTGTGTTCCATGCCAGTGTCGGACCAGGGGACAGGTGTGCCGGTGGGGCGGGCTGAGCTCGGCCTGCGCCCCGGCACCTTGGCACGGCCGAGGAGCCGCCGGGGCCCCTTGGCGCCATTTACCTGGAGCAGGTGGTGGGCGGCCAGGTAGGCCAGGCGCGGGCCTCCCCGCACGCCGGGCGGCAGCCGCCCCGTGCCGTAGCCGTGCCAGGCCACCACGTACGGGTTGTCCATGGTCAGCCAGTAGCGCACCTGCCCGCCGAAGTGCCGGAAGCACAGCTCGGCGTAGTCGCGGAAGAGCCCGGGCAGGACGGGGCTGGCCCAGCCGCCGAAGGCGTCCTGCAGAGCCTGCGGCAGGTCCCAGTGGTAGAGGGTGACCACGGGCTCGACGCCCAGCTCCCGCAGGCGGGCCAGCAGCCGCCCGTAGTGCGCCAGCCCGGCGGGGTTGGGCGGCGCCGTGCCGTTGGGCAGCAGCCGGGCCCAGGACAGCGAGAAGCGGTAGTGCGAGACCCCCAGGCGCCGCAGCGCCTCGACGTCGCGGAACAGGTTGTTGTAGCTGTCGCTGGCCACGTCGCCGCCCACGGGCCCCGGCGGGGCGGCCCCCGACGGCGTGGCCGGGCGGTGGGCGAAGGTGTCCCAGACGGACGCGCCCTTGCCGCCCTGGCGCCAGCCGCCCTCCGTCTGGTAGGCGGCGCTGCCCGCGCCCCAGAGGAAGCCGTCGGGGAAGGTGTCGTGGAGGAAGAGCTGGTCCTGCGGGTAGGGCAGCCGGGCGAAGCGGGACCAGGTGCCCGCGCCCTGCCCCGGCGCCCCCAGCCCCGGCCGCCCCAACAGCAGCAGCAGCAGCGGTGGCAGCAGCGACGCGGCGAGGGCCATGCTCCCGGCGGGGCTCCGCGACAGCAGCTCCCGCCTCCCAGCTCCCCGCCGCCCCATCTTATCTCACCTTGCGCCCCCCCCCTTCCCGCCCCAGTGGGCACGGCCATTAATAATTACCTCAAAGCTGCCGTCTCCATCCTTCCCAGCCGGTTCCATCGGGTAGAGCTGCCGCCGGGGGCGGGAGCCAGGGCGTGAGACGGGGCGGGCAGGGAGGGAAGGGAGGAAGCGGGGCGTGGGCTCCTCGGGGGGAGGTGGACCCTGTCACCCCCTCAGGGTGTCTGTAGGTACCCCCACGGCCCCTCAAAGGGAGAGATCCCGGTCCGCGGGCGGCAGGCGGGGTGCCGCAGCCCTTCGCCCGCCCCGCCGGGCGCCCGCACCTCGCCGCGACTGCGGTGTCCCCTCGGAAGCGGGACCCTCGCTGCTCTCCTGCCGCCTTTCTTCCCATCGGAAGAGCCCGCGGAGAGACTCGACCGCCGGATCCGTCCCCTCTGAGGGGATGGGCGTTGCCCCCTCCCGTGCCCCGCTGCAGTGGCGCCGTCGGGGAGTCCGTGGGGCAGCGCCGCACCGGGGAGGGGGAAGCGATCACGGGGCTGGGCTGGGGGAAAACCGAGGAACTAAAAACGCTTTTCCCTTTCCTCAATGTTTCCGTAGTGGTACTTTAGCAAGACACATCGCACCTGCGATCTCTCATGTAGCAGCAATTGCAGAGAATTCGTTGTCCAAGGACATCAGACACTCACTCCTCGCCGCCTGCTCCCCGGTAATTCATGGGCTGTCACCTCTCAGTAACAACTCTTTTCTTTCCTGGAGTAGGAGGTTGGTATATTTGGTTGCTTGCTGCAGAAAAAACAAGTTCCAGTTAGAAATGCCTCGCGGATCTTTACGGAGAGAAAACAAATCGAGTTAAGTTTGATTACTAAGTTACATTTAGTAACCAACTGAGCAGGCGTGAGGCATGGAGTGCTCTTTAAAGGCAGGTCTCAAACTGCCCTTTGCGTCTCCTTTGGACAGAACAATTCAACCATCGGGGAGAGCTGCCGCCGGCGACGGGAGCCAGGGCACAGCCAGAAACAGCCCAACACATTGCAGAACCTGGTATTCAGTGATAGGAACTCTTAATCGGATTTGGGACACCTACGAATAAAATACGTCTACTGAACAGACAGGCTGTTCGGCACAGAGAGATGTTCCCAGGAGATAAGGCTGTTGTTTAACTACTGAATGAAGGCCTTTAGATAATTTCATTTTATTTTTAGAAAATAAACGTTCCTCAGGGAAAAATTACAGATAATTGCTAATAATGAGTCAATGGATTTAAATGCCAGTTGTGAACTAATGAAGGTTTCCTTTTGTGCACAGGATGGGCTCTCACCTTTCCCAAATGCAGGTGGGGCATTTGCTGTGCCTGTGCCCATTTCTAGAACTTCCAACTTCCACGTTTTCTGCATTGATCCAGATCACTTTTGGGGATTGATTTGTGCTATTTTTAAAGAGATCAAAGATGTAGGGGACAGGATTGGAATTAGTCTTTCACTGTGGCAGTTAATTAATTGCCGTATTAGGGGGATGGGGGTCTGAACAGTCCAGGGGACCATTGACAGCCCTTCCCCAAAGGAGGAAGTTTGTAGGGCAGAACCAGGAGGTGACAGGCCCAGAACCAAGGCTGCTTCCAGGAGTGAGTTTGGGACACAGTCTGAGAAGGTGCTGACATTCAATTACAGTGTGAGTAAATGACAGCTTCAGATACAACCACAGAAAAAGGTGTTGGCATCACCTGCAAGTTACTTGAAGAAACTGGAGATTAATTGTTGAATGCACTGGGGCATTGCTGCAATTGTCCCTGTGCAAGGAGTGGAGAACTAGCCTCCTGTTCAGCTGCAGACCTGATTTCAAGGAAGCATAATGTCTTCACTGGATTTTGCTGACAAAGTATTTTAAAAATAAGGAGTAGAGGCATGTCTCAGAAACACCATCACCTGAATCACCTAAATCAGGGTGTATTAGTGATGGTAAGTCTATTGCTAATATTTAAGGAAAAAAATATCATTGAGTATATAGAGAAACAAGAGATTTTGAAATACATCATGGTATATTCTTTTTTCATGTGGTAATTATTAACTAAAACCTAGATCAATCCTATTTATACTTTGGCAGCACCAAAAAGTAGACACTGAACTGAAGCTCCTTCACTTGTTACTTCCAGAGCCTGTCAACAGTCAAGGAAAAGAAATGGACTCATGGTTACTCTAAGTCAGTCTAGACAACTTCTGAAGAAGTATACGTTATCCAAAACCTGTCAGGATACAGTGGACTGTACTCCTGAAGCAAGAAGCCCATTTTTTTGGGACAAAATCTCACCATAAGCTGTTTGCACAAAGCTATCATTTCACCTGTCACTTTACCTGCATGTCTGCTAGATGAAAGCTTTATGTGTGTGTGTGTGTAAGTGACAGAAAATGTGCCACGCGGCCTCCAGTTCCATGTGTTGTTTTGGGATTTTTTTTCTTAGAAAGCTTGTTTTAATGTCTTAGGACAACACAATTACCAACTGCTCTGAGCCAATATATTTTTTTTTTCCCTAGCAGACAGCCTAACAAACTCTGTGCAATATTAACCATGCAGAAAGGTCAGCCAAACACTTGCAGACATTCAGGTCTCCCTCATTGCTCCTTGAGTTCAAAGTGTGGCTCCATTGTGTCCATGTTGCTGAGCAAGCACAGTTTCAATTCTGCCCCAGGTAAGCAGATCAGGATTTGACTTTCAGCCTCTTTGTATTGGTGGTTACTGAACGTTCAACTTTTGATAATATGTATAAAGTGTAGTACTGTGTCATTTATAATCTTCCTTCAGGCTGTGCTGAGATTTTCTTTGCTAGGTATAGAGTCAGTGCATGCAATCAAACTCGACAGTGTTCTGACTGAGCAGAGCGTTTATATCCCAAAGGGGCTGAATCTTCTGGGATACTTAATTTTAGGTAAAAGAACTCTATTACTGCTTTAGATTGATTTAACAGCTTCCCCTGAGGTAATAACCATGCTTCAATGCAGCAAACCCCTTTATCATTTTAAGATCTCCAGAGAAGAGCTAGAAGCTGTACAACAGTAGCATCTGTGGTGGAACAAGTGGTCTCAGTGCCTAAAACCACCATCTTCTCTGTTCACAAACATACTTCCAAATGCATACAGCCATACAGCCAATTAAAAATAGCCTTATGTAGTAGATTTTGCAGTCTCAGCATTTCCTCTTGGGACACAAAAGTATTTGCTAACCCTTGGAAAAAACTGCTTTAAAAACTGCTTAAAAAAATCACCACCTGATTTAGATGTGAGAGTTTTCTCTGCTTCTGACATCACTGCATTACAGTACTACTTCTCTGTTGTGCCTGTTAAATGCAAACTGCTAAGCTGTGAAATTTTACTTCCACTTCCTCATCAATAGCTGTTTCCAGTGGAAAGATGTCCAACAGCATTCTAGATTTACCTTCTTCATTCCTGCCCAAACACCACAGACTACAAGGCAAACAAGGTCTTTCTCTTGCAAGTCCAGTTTCCTTGAAGAAGTGCAGGCTTCTGTACCTGTTCCTTCTTTCTCACATGATCACACTACTTAAATGTGTTCACTGTACATTCAGAATTACCTGGAGACAGCTAGTGACTGATTGCATTGAAATTAGAAACAGGGTGTTGTCAGGTTCAAAATAAACCTACTGATGAAATAAATGCAGTGCTGTGGAATGCTTGGGAAGATGTTGAAGGCTCCTCTCTTTTATCTGTAAATACCACGTCACTCTCCACTCCACTTTTTTCCAGTGCCCTATTCTGAATCATGGGCACCCTAGTTTGTAGCTGATCTCCCTGTCTTCAAAAGTGCCTTATGAATGGGTGAAAGAAGGTATGGGCAAAGCTACAAGGGAAAAGAAGTTGCCTCTCTCCTAAGAAGGGGGGTGTTAAAGAGGTGGATACAGCCTTGCTCTTCCAGTCCTGGGCAGGAGATATGGATTGTTCTTGCAAGAGGAGTTCAGAGCTGAGGGAGAAGAGAAAGGACAGAAGTGCCCCTTGCTGACTCCAGCCATGCAGCTCATGAGCCACAGGCTTCAGTTGGTTTTTAGATGGGAGTGGAACCCTGATTGCAGTGGCTGAAGAAATAGATGCATTTCCATAGGGTCTGCTGAGCCTGTATGAACAAGTGACAGCAGGTGCCCAGGAAAATTACAGGCCAAAAAGGGAGTTGTCTAATGAATTTTGGCTCTTTTAGAGTAGAAAATCCTGCAAAGCAGAGTGACTGAATGATTCACAAGGGTGAAATAGATTTAACAATTTAGATGAGGGATCTGGAAGAAATGGATGCCAACTCTTAAGAGTTGCACACCTCTGAAAATTCTGGTCTGTGGTCTGTGATGCAGTATAAGAAAGACCAGAAAAATAATTTCATTCTTCTCACTGCTGTTTTAATTTCTTTTTGTGATACACTGTTATAATTTTGGAACCAATTTTATTCAGTCTCCCCAGGATGGCTCAAAAACTTGAATCCTGTGCCTTAGTCTACAGCTGATAGCACTCTGGAGACATGTATGGAGACTGTTCATGTACAGTCATCCTATCTCTTCAGTTCAGGCACAACTGAAGCATTTCTTTTTACTCTTCAAATTCCCAGTATTTTAAAACTTCTGCCAAAATGCCACATCTTCTATGAAAAGAAAGATCCAGGGGACTTAAATGAAGAAATAAAAAGCACTTCTATTCAAAAATGAAAATGCAATGCTGAGTTTTACATACATGAAAGTTGAATTTTTTATGCATTAAATTCAGTGAGGGAAGAATTTGTTGCAAAATTACTTCTATCATCATATTTTTAGATCACTTTCTGTAGGTAAATTGATAAGAATTACTCCTGTACTTGCTAAGTTTGTATTTCAATAAGCACTTGAATGACAGTGCAGTTCAGATACTTATTTCTTGTTGGTTTCAGCTCATTAAAATATTGGTCTCATTTACTACAAGGCAAAAACTGGCTTACAAAGAAATAGGATTGGTTTAAAAAACTACTGTAGTGTGTTA